CTATTCACGAAGAAGGGCTTTCTTAATTACATCAATATACTGGTATTTTTTAGTTCAGGCATTGGCCTTTAAAATGCCCCATACCAAGAAGTCGAGCGGATCTGGTCACCGTGATTGATTTGCATCATTCGCGTGCTTTGTGTTTGGTGCAGAATCTTTTTGAAATATCCAATCTTTCTGAGTCAAATGTTTGGTTACGCGCGGCTTTAGAGCACCTTCCAAAACTTTTTCGTAATAGACATTCGCATTAATTGACTTGTTGTGGCCATTAAAATGTCTAAATTTTCATTTGACATTTCTTCTAAGTGTATTTTTTAGTTCAGGCATTCTTGTGGCCATTAAAATGTCTAAATTTTCATTTGACATTTCTTCTAAGTGAATTCGATCATTTTGTTTGTTTACGAATTTCTCAATTGGGAATTTTTTCTCATCAGACAAGACGATATTTGGCCATTGGCCGCGTTCGTGCAAGCGTAACAGGTCCTTCGCACAATTGAGCCTTGTTTTTTTTTTAAATTGGTGAGATCTTGTACCTTTTGGAATATGTAAGGCTTCACTTTCAGTTCGTTTTTGAGTATTCGTTGCATTTTTATTTTCGATATCTTCGCTGAGTAGCGAATTTCAAAGATTTTTTTCCGACCACCAAAATAAACTTTTCTATAAATATATTCAATAGTTGTGTGCAAAAATATATTTTTTTATGTTTCATGTTACATCTCACTATGCAAAAACTATTACGATACTAGAATTGTAATGTGCCATATCTAAAATCGCAGATCATATGAAATGAAATTTCTCGGCGGGACGGATCAAACGAATAAGAATTCATATAGCTTTTATACGCCTATTGAAATTTGAATAATTTTTACGTTTTCATGTGCATCTACGGACTGAAAAACACTTCCGTTGCCAGGTTAATAACCTTTCATAATTTAAAATACAATTTTATCGAGTAAAATAAAAACTTGTATTTTTTATAATTTTTAAGAAATGAAATATATTTTTTTGAAAAACGAATTAGTTCTATAATACTGTTTAATTATATTGTAACAAATTCAAGTTTTTTATGAAAATATTTTTTTATTTTGTAGAAACAATATTGGTTTTGTAATGACTAGTCAATTTTCTTGATATTGTACACATTTATAAATGCAATAAAAAAATAAATGATAGCTAACAATATTTAAAAAGACCAATAGAAGGACATAACAATATTTTCCTATGAACAAAATTAACTACTTTGCTATATAATAATATACATTTCTGTAATTATAATCAAATTTAATGAAATGTTGCATAATTTTAATAATCACCAATTCATCACCAACCAGTGATTCTCAAAGTGCGGGTCGACAAAATTATTTAGGGGGTCGCAGAAAAATTGATGACGGATGTGTATGATGGGTATGTGTAGAAAATATCCCGTCCCGACGTTTTTCTACACATACCTATTCTTCGGGGGGTCTTTTAAAATTTGTATGTGTAAAAGGGGTCCCGGACCCAAAGTTTGAGAAACTCTGTCGTAAACGATAAAGAAAGTATACAATTATAGTTCGTACATATATGAAAATAGTAAAATGATAGTCGTTAATAAATTGTGAAAGAAACATTACAAAATAAGACGAATCGTCATAAGATGCAACAAAAGAAAAACGGATCAATTAGAAATCGCCTTTGAGCTCAATGAGTAATGCAACAAAATAGAATTAGGAAATAAACAGAAAATATTGCTTTTAATCGCATTATTCCATACACATATAACTTGAATAAAACAATTAATAACATTCGAAATGTTAATAATATAATAAACATTTGTTTTTATTAATAATTAAAATTATCAATATGTATTTTGGGAAAATTAGATCAATTCATTTTATCAAAAATTATTGGAAAGAAAGTGACAATTATGTTCAGAAATCACTTGTTTTTCTTATAATTCTGTATTATGGAAGTCAAATAATTTTATGAGATGTACAAATATCCTGAAATATAACAAAATCATGAAAACTCTTTGAAATATTACACTGAAATATTAATAAAAAATTACAGAATATTCTCAAATAGAGAAAATAAGATTTTGCATCAATATATAAATGTCATATCATAATTTCTGTGAAAACATGTTGTCTTTAGGATTAGAATAGTACAGCGTGGCCCAAAAGTCACTGGAGTCTAGTGGCTAGAATGAGTGACTGAGGAACGTGTGAAAATAATCGAATTTCATTTAAAAAATGATCAATTATGCTATAACAAAGATCATTGGACGGAAATCCAAAAATAGTCCACCAACGTAGACTACTTCCAGTAAAAGTAATGGTGTAAATGAAGTACTTATTTCTATGAAGATGTGGCAGAAAACGCACTAATCTGACTTAACCGTTCCAGATTTCTTTCTATACGATAAACAACTTCGGACCATTACAACAGTAATTTATCGGAAATAATGTTGTTTCGCATAAAAAAAGTTGCGATTTCAGAAGCACTGATTCAGAATAATTTATAATGATTACAATACTGTAAATTTACAGTTGCAGTTTAAAAATATAATAAATTTCTTTGCAAAATTACTAAACGATTGTAAGTATAATTATACAGCCAGCGCTCAGTTAACGTAACACTTAAGTATACACAAATTATCGTACTTGAAGCGAAGCTATCCGAAGGTGATTTTTCATATAAATGCATTTAAAATTCTTTGGTACTCTCTTGGTTACATCTTAATTTTCCATCTGACCTTAGCACAATCAGCATAAACATATTTCAGAAAAATGTGAGATCATAATGTTATTTATTTTCAGACAAAAATCAAATACACAATATGTACACAAAGCATGTATGAAGCTGTCGTTTGGTTCAATTGCTATTATTGTACGTTCGTACGGATATTTGTACGTTACTTCAATAATCAAGAGAGGTCTTGTAACGAGTATTATATATATATACTTTACCTGTTGAGGGCCATATGATCACAAGCCGCTTAGGATGTATGTATGTACAATTTAAACCTACTTGATATAAACAATAATAAATTATTAAATTATATTATGTTACCTACCTGGAAATTCCATTCATGAATAAGTGTTGATGAAAAATGAACTAAACTCAAATAGCATTCAATGTAAAAAAAATCGTTTAAATGATTTAATTCGTAACATTTAGACTTAATCGATTCGGGGTATTCGGCAATGATAAGAAAACAGGAAGCAATTATGTATTCATTTCGTCGGAGGAGGAAATTGGGTTTAAGTGGAAACATAACCCATGCAGACCAACTAGCTAATGTAATGGATCAGGGCTGGGGGGATTGATTCGAGTTTTGTGCACACGGCGATTAAGCAGTTAGAATTACCACCAATTGCGCGTTGCTTCAGTTATTAGCTTTCCTACTGCGTACATTTCTTCTCCTTTTGGCATTATCTAACACGATTATGGCACAGCCAGACATGACCGAAACCAAAGCAACGCGCGATTGTTTTCGTTGCGCGAAACGTGCTATTTGCATTATGTCGCAAGTGCAGCAGTTTAGGAACTCGAACATGAATAAGGAACGCCAATGGAAATGAACGCATACAAAGGTCAATACTATTTGTTTACGTCGTTCATTTGCTGCCATCGTTCCTCCACTGCCATAAGAAGATGACGGCAGATGACGAGCCTTTGTTTGGTGGTAATTAGCGATGGCCAAATATTTACCCGCAAAGATAGAGTTTCAATTTCTTATTGTACGTCGGTCGGCAAGCCAGAAAAAGTAACATCGGGGTAATAAGTCTAGACGTGAGCGTTTTGTAAATAAAAGGAGAAACTCAAGACACATTTTAATCGTTTTATTCGCAACTATACAGAAACGATCCCTCGAGGTGCGACACTCTTCATTCTTCTAGAATCCTTTCGACAATATTTACCTACGTATATCGTTCGCTTACATTAAACGTATAAATATACACAGACCTATTTTTTTTTTCTTCGAATACTTTATATTAATCTCCATTTATTTCTTCATAAATTATATCTACAATAGAATCATATATTTTAATATATTTATATATATATATTTGGAGAGCGCACAGATTCAGACTAAGCGAGTCACATTTGTTTCAAGGTTGTTAAATGTGAATCACATTGTATAATGCGTTCAGTTCTTAGCATGACTTCAACCAAAAGCTCAGAAACACTTTTAATATGTTACTAGATTATAACTATTTTAATTCATATATCAGATTAGAACGAACCAAGGTAAAACAATTAAATTGATTTTTTTTTATATATGTATATATTTGTTGTCGATTGTCTTAATACAATTTTTTAGATTGTTTCAATTGCAGAATATTCCGACGATAACAAAAGCACAGCTAAAAATCTTGACATTACACAAGGTGTTTCGCGAGTTTTCTTCAGTTTCTAATTATTATAGATAGTTTTTCATTTCTCTTTTGGTCAGGTAACTGTTTCAAAAATAAACTCAAACTATTTTCATCACAGAAGAAGTTATTTCTCTTTCGATTTTTCCCATTTCCTAACAGTTTCACGTACCCACCCAAATTCAACTACACTCACGCATTCCATCCCTCACTCATCACATCACTCGCACATGAAACAAAAAATTTGGTATTTCGTTTAAATTACTTAAGATACTAACATATTAAATTATAAGCGTTATATAATATATCATGGGCAATCCTCGAGAAGCGACATCGATGATAAAGAAGTCTGTGAAGTATTGTCTTAGAATCTCTGGTTGGAAGAAAACATAAGAAACTGTATCATCGGTGGATTCGTCGAGGGTTACGGATTATATACAAAAAAAATTGTGCTAATTTTGAGCTTAGATCAAAACAATATACAAAAATAGTAATAGAAAATATCTCACAAAAATTGTAGATTACATTTCCATCAATAAATATCCTAGTAAAATTTTAATCAGACATTGGTATATATTTTTATATAAGTTAACGTTAAAAAACGAAACGGAATATTTTTCTAAATGATATTCTCAAATTTAATTTTCACAATTATATTGATTGCGTTTATTTTTTTAATATATTATATTCGTGAATGCGTGTAAATGAAGCTTATTCTCATTTACGCCCAGTTTTATTACGTTTAGCCGTGATAACTATGCAACCAGTTTTAATCCGAGGTTTGGTATCTGTGTGTAGAATTTTTCTATTCGCGTTTGTATTAAAGAAAGGAAACGATCTAAATTTGAGAATATCCGGAATATGTGGAAGCCAAATTAACTTATTACTTACACCAACGAGTGATTACATTCAATCTTGCTTGCTGATTTCATTTATATTCTTTTTGTGTACGAAATTGTACTCGCCGAATAGAAACCTCTTCACGTTATCCTCCATCTGCTTATATTTGACTTTGTCGAGCTCCGTTTTATCGTCGGTCCTACTCGATGGATGCGAGTTCAGGGATTCGGAGTAGTCCGAAGTGCTGCCGACGTCGATGGTCTGTATCCAGTCAGCTACCCTCTGGTTCGAAGTGTTTTCACTCAGGCTGCTCGACGTTTTGCAGTCCCCCGAACTAATAGATTCAGGTTTAATTGATTTAGAGTTGTTACTTTTCATTTCACTGTGTGTGTACAGTACCGGAGAGACGGCGTTCGGTTTCGAGTCCAGCAGGATGTTCTTCGATCCGGTTTGCAGCCTCATGGAACACTGTCTCCCGCCCTTGTAGATCTCGCTTGTTTCCAGTTTCGTGTTCTTGCAGAGCTTATGATGCGTCAGCGGTTTTTCCTTCTTCTCGTTAATGTTGAAGAAGATCACTTCGTTGGGTGAATCACGTATTGTCGGACTGTTCAAGTCTATCAGGTTCTCCGACTTACTGTCACTCGATGTCTCCATTTTGCTCTCGTTCAGCTTCTTATCGATCAAGAAATTGTTTGGCTGCACCTTTGCCACATTTTGATTGTTGCTTTCCTGTAAATTGTACACGTTCTTATTGTTGTCGACGTTTTTCACGATATTCACTAAAGGCGGGCTATTCTCCAATTGGTGATTGCACTTTAAACATAGTGTGTTTGTGCTGCCTGGGCTTCCAGTCTGTGTGCTCACTGAGTGATGGGTGTTATGTGTTATTATTCTAATATGCTTCGAGCAAGTGCATGTATCACAATGTTTCACACAGGACCTCTCACGTTCGCGCTCCTCCAGAACTTTGGCCATAATAGCAGCTGAAACTATGTCCACCTCTGAATTCTCAGCCTCCTCTTCGTCCATCAACCGATTATAATTAGACGTTTTAGGAACTGAATACACCATAGCCGTTGGTGGGAACGTTGGTATCGGAACTTTTATACTCTTCATATCGGGCAAAGTTCTTCGCTCTTCTGGTTTCTTTTTGACAACCATATAATTAGAGACTTTAGCTTGCACCTCATTTGGCAACTAAAATAAAAACAATATATATATAAAGTTATACTTAACAAATAATGAAGTAAATACTCACTGTATCATATTTTTGAGAGACAAAATTTCCAGGTTTGCATTGCAAGAACTGTAAAGCCAGAGAAAGGTCATTCTTATACCTTTCCTAAAACACAAATAATTAATCCATGAACTTCAATTGCATTATAAAAAAAGTCCTTACATTATCCTCAGTTACTTTCTTAATAGTATAATTGGCATCAGCCAACTTATGTGATAGAGTTGCTATATCTTTAGTCAATGTGTTTTTCTCTGTCTCACTAACATCTACCAACTTTAATAGCTTATCTTCTAAACCTTGATTCACCCTTTGAACTCTGCGATGAGCCTCATACAATCTAGAGAAAAATATTAATATATATTTTTTTTCCATTACAATATAAATACCTTTTATATTTATCTTGCCAAGTTATTAATTCCTCTCTCAGTGCAGACACCTCTCCATTAGGAAACTTATTAGCCTCATTCAAAAAATTTGTTTCCATAGTAACAATATGGTTCTCCTTCTCAACTAGCCTCTGCTTCAGGTTCTCAATCTCCACATGCAGATGGACATCATGGTCAGAGCACTTAGAGCAAATGCATCCGCACTCCTTCATCATGAACAATCACAAAAAGTAAATTAATTTCAAATTAAATAAACACTAAAGAAACAGTGTTGGAGGAGAGTGGACGCACCTTGCACTGATTGTTAGCCATGGTTGGAACGAAATGAAAATAAAACAGGTCGTTAGTAATTCGTTACACATAGGAATTCCCAGCTGTTGATTTCCGTGTGCCACAGCCACATCGGTTCACGATATTCCACTGAGAGATAATTGCATTTGGGAATTGGGACGTCAGTTTTTATCTGCGGTTTCATCACATCTGTGAGTGATCGAATAAGATTATCTGTCGAACGTTTTTCATCGGTGATTCTTCTCATAGACGAAATTCATTCGACATGGACTTTAGATCGCGAACGGCATTGGAAAATTATTGAAACTGTCAAACAGAAATAAATAAAAAGTAACGTCAAACATGACACATCCTGAATCGGAAAACAATAACAATTCTAATCGAACGTATATCCCCATATATTTATCGAAATCCTAATTGTAGCTATCGCATATTTCAAGGTTAATTGTAATTGTGTTATTTTTTGTACCGAGTATTTCTAGGAATGTTTTGAAATGGAAAAATACTTTTAAGTAGCCTTGGTTGCATATCCTAGAGGGCGGGACTAAAGTGATGCGTTGGAAGTGGTTGGAAGGTTTATTATCTTATCCATAGCTTCATAGATGGCGCATAATATGATTTGTACCTAATTAATGTTTTTCTTATGATATAATCCCAACCAATCCCAACCCTCACCTGTATTAGATGTTTTCTAATATATTTGAAGTACATATAGATGGAAATTTATTAATTAATATCAATAAATTTAGTTATTAATTTATAATATAAACATTAAATTAAAACACATTACAGTTGCTTAATTGGGACAACCGCTTAATAAGAACAAATCCTAAAGAACGGACATAAAACCGAAGAAATAACAAAAATTGACTCCGCTTTGTTTTGGGTAATATTATGTTTAATTGGGACAGAAATCATGTGTGAATTTCCGTGGCGCCAGTGTTTCACATGTTAATATTTAGGTTCTATTTGATATAATTATAGTTAAGCGTATGACGGGAGTTCTTTGTTCGCAATAAATATCTGCGCTGATTTTGTACAATTACAATCTCGCAAAAACAGAAGGCAAACCACTTTGTACAAATTCTTCCAGAATACATAATTTAAGTTTGAACAATACAATTTTTCTTTAACAATTTATTATATACATATTTATTATGTGTGAATACGTATAGTTTTGTGACTTTTTTTATTTTGTGCAATTTATTAAATAAAATAGAGTGGAACTTTTCTTCATGAGCACCTCGCATAACGAGTATTTCACTAAACGAGCAAAATAAATTGTAAAAATAACTCACTTAACGGGTGACGATGAAAGAAGTCTCAGATTATGTGATTTCTATAAAATTTTCAAAACTTGCGTTCACATATTATTTGTATTTTTATATGTTATTTATAATTTTTTTTGTAAAAATGTAATAACACTTGCATGTCTCCGAATAAAAAGCGAAATGAAAAGCAAAATAATTAAAAAGCGAGACTAAGTTATACTTTTTTTCCGACATGGAACGCATTATCTTATTTTACATTAGTTTATATAGGATAAATTGTTTCACTATACGAGTATTTCATTATACGAGTATAAATCCGAAAATTACTGTAATTTTTATGGAACTTTGGACAAAATATGCTAGATCCAATGTGTCCCGATTAAGTGGAATCATATTTTAATAATATCAACTCAGAGACCGTGTTTAATTACATTAGGTTTGGTTGCATCATAAAAAATTGTAGCTTAATTGATTATCGTACCATAAAACGCACTGTTATACACAGAAAAATCTATTTAAAATCGAAGAGTCGAACCGAAATTAATTTCGTTCAGGTTTACGGTTACGTTTCAAAAAAATGTTTATAGATCCAGTTTCAGTTTCGGTCCGTCTAAAAATTTCGGTTTAGTATCCGTTAAAATTTAAATTTAAAAAAAATAAAATTAGTTAAATTTAAAATCGAGTCGAACATCAAATATACCGGTATCAATATTTAGCAAAATGAATATTTTAAAAAATTCCGAATGATACCGAATTAATCCGATTTCGGACGAAAATTCTTCTCTCTATTCACCGTCATATTTTATGTTAAAAATTCCGGTTAATTCTATAAATGTAAATACAAAATTTGCATTTTATCAATGACCGAGAGTTTTTAGTAAAAAATACTATCATTTATAATATTTTTATTCACTCGAGCCAACAAAAATACTGAAATATATAATACTAAATTGATACATCTAAAACTACTGTAAGGCTTAAGGCAGGAAATGCAATTATTAAATAATGTTCCCTCAAAAAGGGAATCTGCCCCCCGGTCACACTCAACAACAAAATCATCCCGCAGGCCGACGATGCCAAATACTTGGGCTTGATCTTGGATCGCAGACTTACATGGAAGAAACACATCGCAACAAAGAGGAAGCAACTGGGCATCAAGTTCGCGAAACTGTATTGGCTGATCGGAAGTAGGTCACAACTATCCATCGAAAATAAACTATTAATTTATAAAACAGTACTAAAGCCGGTGTGGACGTACGGCATCCAGCTTTGGGGAACAGCTAGCAACTCCAACATAGAAATCCTGCAACGCTTCCAGTCCAAGTGCTGCGAACCCTGGTGCAGGCCCCCTGGTACGTGACGAATGACACGATACACAACGACCTCCACATGAACACTGTTAAAAGTGAAATCCCCATATTCAGTGCCCGTTACCAAACAACCCTGGTGCAGGCCCCCTGGTACGTGACGAATGACACAATACACAACGACCTAGACATGAACACTGTTAAAAGTGAAATCCCCATATTCAGTGCCCGTTATCAAAACAGACTGCTGAACCCCCCAACAGTCTCGCGTTATCCCTCCTAGACAATAGTGACACCCCCCACAGACTAAAGAGACACAACACTCTCGACCTCCCCTTTAGAAAATAAAAGATTAGTTTTTATTGTTTAAATTTTCATAGTGCCGTCAAAATCAATTTTTATTTGGGTTTTATTGTCATCGAGTTATTTTTTTTAGTTAAATTTATATTGTTTATAGGAAGATTTCCGATGGGAAATCGTTCCAATACCGTATGTAACTTGAATTTGTTAGATAAATGATTGTTTATAGGAAGATTTCCGATGGGAAATCGTTCCGCTTCATGCCTTTATTTTTTTATTGTCATCGAATTATTTTTTTTAGTTAAATTTATTTGTTTATAGGAAGATTTCCGATGGGAAATCGTTCCGCTCCATGTTTTTATTTTGTTTTTTCTGTTTTTATTTTCTTTTTTTTTTCTAACAAAAGCATTCAACTTATAGGAAGATTGTNCAAGANAGAAATATTTACGTTACAATCTTNNTCATTTTGTTTTTTCTGTTTTTATTTTCTTTTTTTTCCTAAGTTGGAAGGTTTCCTATGGGAAATTGTTCCGCTCCACGCTTATTCTATTTTGTTTTTTCTGTTTTTATTTTCTTTCTTTACTTATAACAATTCTTAACTTATAGCCAGAGATAAGGCAGTTTGAGATTGTCAATTATTAAAATATATAAAAAAAATGTTATAAATTAATTTATGTCTTTTTTTATTTTAAAATTAGTTTTGTAATATTTTTTTTTATGTACTTTCTGGCAAAGGTTGTGTTCAATAAATCCGATTAAATAAATACCAACAACAATGTCAATTATAACAATTTTACTAATGTTTATTTATTATTTTTAAATGTACGAGAGGTCTTACAAAACTTACAGTAAAAAAATAAAATAAAAACAATATTATTTTAATATTTTTTATTTTCATCCTTTTGTAATTTCTCTACATAATTTCCATTTATTTCAATTTATTACAATAGAAATCAAAAGGAGCTAGGTCGGTAGAATAAGGTACTGGGCGAATTTCATTGATGCTAGAGAGCGCAAGAAAGTTGTTGGTTATTTGAGTAGTGTGAGTGGGCCCACGATCACTACACATTTTTCAAAACTTGTGATAAACAAGTTTCTGTATACTACTTAGCAGATATCGTCTGACCAGTTTTCAGTGAGATAGCAACTACCAATTTTGCCCTGGTAAAGTAAATCGACATCATAATTTGTGTTTCTGATTTTTATTGTTTTGCTTTAACTGGAGGGATTTGCACCTTCTGCGGTATGGAACCTTGGAGTGCTGCTTGGTTTTCAGGTCATACTTATAGAATCAAAATTCATCATCTGTTACGATATTACTAAAAGTGCTAGAATCTCCATTTTCTAAATATTCCAAGAAATATTCGACAAAACACATACGTGCTTTTATTTGGTCGTCATTTAGAAATAGTGGAACCCATAGAGCGGATTTCTTCTTGCAGCCATAGTGATGATTTAATATTTGCGACAAATCCATGGCATTTAAGCCCAGTTCATCAACTACCATTTCATGTGTCTCTTTTGGATTTTCGTCAATTTTTGCTTTTACCAGGTCTATATGTGTATCATCGGTCAAAGATACAGAAATGTGTCCGATCTGAAATCTTTGAAACCACTTGGAAATAGTCACAAGGGATTATGCATTAACTCCATATGCATATGACATTCTTGGAAAATTTGCATAGGCTTGACTTGACGTCGAAATCCGTAGAGAATGGCAAAACACATTTTTGCTGTATTAGTGCTGGAATTTCTCCATTGAATTTTCTCCTATCCACTCTTACCGATCTTCTTGAAATTTGAGATGAAATATCGTTAGACTTTAACAAATTGAGAAATAACTTTTGTTTTTTCAGAATCAAATGAATTAATGGAAATTTAGCGAACTTTTGTTAGTATATTAAAATAAGACTTTTACAGATTCAACCTTTATTTTAAAAAAAAATCGCGGATGGCAAATTAACTATTTCATGAATTCCTAAGGATACATTTTTACTTGTGTAATAATATAAAGTATTGAATGAATATGAGTTTTACTTTTAAATATGAAAGATTATGACTTGATTACTCTTGCTACACTTGATTACACTTTTCTGTACATTGTATTGCGAATAACTTAAAATTATTGCAATATATATTACTTATTTAAAAAATGAATAAATTTATGAGATACTGAAAGTAAGATATTTAATAGTGTCTTGTATGAACATAATAGAAAAACTTATAAAAAACTTAAAAAATATTATAAATTGCGTTTCAAATACATCTTAAATGGACAAGTTGTCAATTAATGAAAAATTGCATTTGTTTACACATTAAGTTTAATGTTATTGGATCGGGATGATTTGGAAAAGTACATTCATAAACGAAAGGTTCAATTAAAAGGCAAATTTTACAATATATATTTATTTGACAGTAGAAAAATGTGCGTTTATCTTTGGTACGATGAGTATCATTTTAAAAATTAAATACATTCATGTTTCAAGGCGCCCATGTGTGTAATAATGGTAATATTGTTCATAAAAGCATACACTTAAAAATGCTTATAAGCTATAATAAATATCATTTGTAGACATATAAATTGATTAAAACCCAGTATACGTTCTGAAAGAACCGAGAGTGATGGAGTTTTAAGCAATATCCTGAGGAGTTTCGTTAGTAGCAGTTTCGTAAAAATATAATTATAAGGGTTATGTAAGTCGACACGATTTGAAAACTACTGACTATGATTTTATTTATGCTTTGTGTTTGATTATCAATGTTTTTACTGTTTAACTATATGAATTAAACATTTCATTTGAGTTGATAAATTAAAATAAGCACATTTATTTATATGGAAATATTAGCAATGTCATTAAAAAACATGCTTTAATTGACGATATAATTCACAAGAAACATGGAAATGAACGTTAATAATGATGGCGTGAAGATGTTTGCTGCATTATCTCCAACACCTGGAACGTAGAGCACTCCGAATCCTCCAAAATGTTCTTCGCCGGCACCTCCGTCCTTACCAGTTCCCCCGTTGCAAAGATCAGTCTGGCACGACCGGTAATAATGCCTGAAGACCGGATCCTCAAAGTCCTCGTTCAACAAGATGGGAACATCCTCACAACCTCTCAGCATTTGCATTACCTTTCCTTTCGGAGTCTAACAAACATTCATCAATTATTAGACGTAGCCGTAGTCCGATTGACTTTACTCACCACATACTCTACGCGAATTGATGTGCAGTAATTCTTGTTGCAGTTGGTAATTGGGGTCGAAGTCTCCACATTTGCAGGATCCGTGACGCATTTCTGATCAGTTTCCCATTCCTGAAAGGAGCAGGTGTAACACCGTAGACCTAAAATCCGCGACTATAAAGACTTTGGAGGTTTCTTTCGAACATTCGTACCTTCGCTTGTGGAGATCGCTCCTATGAGGGCGAAGAGAACGATCTGGAACCTTTTCATCTCGTGCTTCCCCGAATGGACAACGCTTACTAAGGAACTACGTTCGAAGGAATATCTATTAATCTTAGATAAGATAAAAGGCGAGTTTCGTAGTATGCAGTTGAAATATTATTGATTTCAAATGATATGATTCGTGGAAGCGGAAAGGTTTACTATCTCGAATACATTACATTATTTTGTATTTATTTATTCATTTTTTTTAGAGTACATATCACAAGGATGATTATGCAATAATAATTATATAAAATTGAACATTACAGTACAAAATTATTATAAAAAGCTACGTAACTACACTTGTTTCTTCATTATTTAATTCGTCGAGTTAATGATGATAATAATATTTGTAATAATAATAATAATAGTATATTTATTTAAATATGGACAGATTCTTATTTTTTTGTTAATTCTTGGATATATTAAATATATTATACTATCATAGTGAGTGAAAGAAGACGTAAGAGTAAACAATTTTTAAAGAATGCTTGGTTCCTTCGTTTGTTTTGTTAATTTAACTTAATTTATGTTTAAATTTATATTTTTGGCGATTCGTGGATACAAGAAATTATATTTAATATAATAATAAGTACATTATAAATAAATTGTGGTCAGACTTTGCGTCGCAGAATAAGTTCGAAACCTAAAGACTAATTATATACAAATAAAATAAATAGAAAATATCATATAATTATAATTAATAATAATAATCTTAGTACTTGGAGAGAGAGAGAGAAATAGAGTGAAAGTTATAATAAAGTATCGAAGCAATTATTCTCATAAATGTTTTTTTTTGCTTCCATTTAAGTTTAATATATTCGATGAAGGGGCGTAAAATTGATTCGCGTCATTAGATTAATTAATAAACACTTTGTCACTAATTACAAGCCATTAAATGACCCACAATTATGATAATGTATAGTAATTAATTCATAAATAAACAAGAACAACAAAAAATATGATTATATAATCCATGTATCAGCAAACTATATATTTGTTAAATTAGAATTTCAGATAAGCAGTCTATGCAGCGCAATATTTCTTAATTCTGAACAATTTTTTTTTTATGTTACGAATCGAGTTATGGAATTGAATTTTACGCCCTTGTCATTAGCAGTCAATGCTCAGACTTGAAGATGGATCTCTTCATCGCACATTTAACATCTAAAGCCATCTTTTTTTTTTCTAATGCCATCGAAACAAAACTTAAAAAATGGCGTAGTTTATTCACTTCACTGCTCGTTCATCTTTACGTCTTCGCTGCTAGAGAAAAGATATTTCTGAGACCTTCGAAAGCGATTTTCTTTTGTTATTTTTTTTAGAAGTATTAAATATATTTATATAGCTTATATAACGTGTTAATTATATAACCGGAAAACGAATGGAAAGCGCGCGATTACACATTTTCGCGATTAGCTGTGTCCTTACTTTACATGTTACATGAATACAATGATGTAATTGATGTAATTATATATTTAAAAGTTGATTAATTACGGGGCGTTGGAGGACGCGGCGAATCTAATTGAATGCGTGAGTATATTTGTGATTCGTTTATCTTTTTAATAATATCACATATATTTTACATAAGTTTATGAATCGTGAAATGTATTAATTATTGCTGTTGTTGAGATGTTGTGTGGAATGCGGCTTGAGATTCGCCAGTTTCCTCCTCCAATTATTCTTTTTTTTCGTTACAATTCTTCTCTTCGTCATTTTGGCAGTGCGTCGTGGCTATTATCAAAGATTGTACATGTCGATTAGTAATATAAAAATCTAATTCGTGGTTATACGTTGTATAAATAAAAACGACTTAGAAGAGAAAGAGAGACGCGTGATATGCTCGATAAATAAATTCGTTCCTCAAACAGCTTCTTTTACATGCAATGATTTTGATTCATATCTTCTTGTTTGCGTTTGAATTATGCTTCTTCTTCGATTTCAATCGTTAAATATATTCGATATGTACAAATTGCTTTATATTTACAAAAAAAATTGAAAGAAGTTGTCGCGCTTTTAACTTCAATAATAATATTATTTTAATGTGTGTATATATACTATATAAAACGATTATTAGACACTCATTACAATTCATATCATACAATTCGCGATATTCACGTAAGGCTGACACTGTTTTAATTAAATTCATCGTGGAAGCTATCGATTACATATTTTTTAAACTCATATTCGTTTCCCTTTTCATTATTTTTTTTTTCAATTTATCTGGCTTCCGCCTCATTCGTTTCGTTCTCCTATCTAATATATATATTTTTTTCTTGTTACAATTGCTTGCTTTGCTTATTTTTTTTCTCAGTTTTAGCTTAAGGAAAATTTGGTTTCGATACATGACTAACGAGAGAAAGCTCACATCGACTTGAGGATCGTTTCGATTTCCTTGGCGAGTTCTGCAAACGTCGGCCTCTCCTGCGGGTTCACGTCGAGGCATCTCTCCTGTAAAAAGGTGTACAAAAAATGCGGGTTACAGTTTGTTGCTGCTTTTCTTAATGCTAGATGCAATTACCTGAAGTTTCTCTAGGTCGGGTGGCGTGTCTTTGTGGAACTTCCACTCGAGTGACTTCTCTTTGAGCTTGGCGAGGAAACTATTGTCGTTCATCTTGGGGAAGGGTAACTCACCCTGATTGAAGATCTCCCATATGAGCACCCCGAAGGCATAAACATCGCTCTTCGTCGAATACTCGTCCTCGTATACAGCCTCATGCGGTAACCAACGCAATGGAATAATCTGCAAAGGAAAAAGCACATTTTTTTAAATTAAAAACTAAAATACTTCAACCGTTCTATGTATAAATAATTAGATCAACATCTAGATGTTATTTAATTATAACTTTAATATATGTTTTTACCTGATTGGCGTGTTTGCAGTACTCTTGGCTGAAGGGGTCTCTGGTCAGTCGTGGAAGTCCTACCTTCACCAACAATTTGGAAGTGATAAGGCAGTTCCTAGCGGCGAGATCGCGGTGGACGAAGCGCTCGTTCGAAATCTGGTCCAGGGCTTGGGCAACTTGCTGAATTACGGCAACACATTGTACCGGGGTCAAAGCTGGAGGACTGCCTTTCTGTGTAGCCACCAGGAATTGCTTCAAATCACCCTACACCAAAAATAAATACACAAATGTAAATTAACTTACAAATTATTAATAAAAAAAATATTAATTAAATCTGGATTGTCATTATATAAAAAAAACTATTTGATAAACTACTATTAATAATGTTGTAAATTGTGAATTATTAGTTATTACGGTGTGAATAGCAATTAGTTGTCCGAAATTATTAAGTTTCTAATGTGGTAAACTTAATAGCAACTAACATTTTAAAACTATAACAATATAACTTTTCGTTATTATTATTTATAAATAATAAAAGAAGGAAATATAAAATACTTATTTATAAAGGTAAATTAAATATCTTAGAACAAAAAAGTTATTGCAATGGTTCATTGTGATAATAAAATAAAAAATACTTTGTTTAGAAAACATACCCAATCAGTGTATTCCAGGATCATGTAATGCGGTTCTTCCTCTCTGCAGAGTCCGTGAAGTTTGGTAATATTTTCGTGACTAAGTTTGGTAAACATGTCGATCTCCCTCTTGAACTCTGCCAAACTGTTCTCATCTTTGGTTTGCGTCAATGATTTCACCAGAACTGCGACCTCCTTCTCATCTGATCCTCCTGTCGGCGTCGACGCCGAGTTCCTCTTTTCACCAAGCAGCACACTCTTCGCCACTTTCGCAGCGAATATGTCTCCGAACTCACCGCGTCCGATCAATTTGCTATCCCTCAGATTAGACCTGGAGAAGGCGATCTTGTCGTAATTGGACTTGGATTTCTTTGAGTGCGCCGAGCTCTGCGAATGGGTCGTCTCGGCTCCGTCGCTTTTTTGTCCCTCCTTGAGGGCATCTCCGTTCTCGACGGGCTTCGAAGGACCAGCCCCTGTAACCGTCGCTCCCACCACATGCCCATTAGTCTCCACGGCTATCGTCGCCTCCTTCAGTTCCGTCGGATCCGTTTCGCCGTTCTCCGTCTTTCCAGCTGAGAAAGTTTCCATTTAAAATCAACCGCTCTCTCGCTGAATTGAATTTTACGTACCTTCGCTAATTGGCAATTTTCTGGAACGTCTTCTGTACCTGCACCAGACCATTAGTCCTACCACAAGGATGATGTAAGCTGCAGCTACCGACATCGTAATTAAGACGGCCTTAGTCACCGTCGATCCTTCTCCGTCGACATTATCACCCGGATGGAATCCGTCTCTAACTAATGAACATACATAAATATTTTTATACATGCGAAAAACACTGTAAGATATATACGAGAACTACATTTATTGACCTATGATGCATTTATGAAAATAAACCGAATATCCACTCTTGTAACTCTGAAAATCCATAACTGAGTCATCAACGATCTATGCAATTTCGTGATAATGTAATATATAGATTTTAATCAGATATAATTGAACCTTCGTTCTTCGAAAATTATGCCCGTATTTTAAATGGAATGTCTGCAGACCAATTAATCACCAAAAGATGTGAGACTATTTTTTAGGTGAGATCTTGCCTTCTTAGTACCAAAAATTTCAAAAATGAGTCATTAACTATCTTGAGTCATTCAACTTCGATGAGGAATTTGATCAGGTGTAATAGAATTTTATTTCTTTGAAGATTGCGCGCAGACAGATTAATCTCCAGAATCTGTGACATTGATTACTCGCAAAGTTCTTCAGATGTAACTTTTTATATACTTTCAAATATGCCAATACAACAACAGCAATAATTGTTGTTATTAATATTTAATTATATAAAAATAAATGTATTTTTTATTACCAAACAAAAGAAAAATGTTTATCAAATATATTATTGTATATAAAGATGATATCATTTCACTGACAGATTAATACGGTATTAGTAATTCCTCATGTTATGCATTCATTATAAAGTTTATTTTAATAAAATTAATTTAAACTAGTACTGACAATTCGTCAGATGGATAGCTGAATTTGATTACAGGAGTCATTATTATTGACATGTACAAATTAATCGAAATGGTTTTGACGTTTATATACAATTTATAAGAATAAATACTTTAAAAAACTACGTAATATGTCAGTTAAATTTAATGGTCAACAAAGCGTTAATAATTTATAAAGTTTGAATGTAAGCGACGGAGAATGTACAGGCTGAATTAAGTTACCTCGCATCAAGACAATACCCGGTTCTAAAGTTTAATGAGAAATAATAGGAAATTATTCTTACTGTGAACGATTAATCTCATTTCCTTTCGATTCAAGCCGGCACTGTTGCCGCCGGTGCAGGCGTAATTGTTTTCATCCTCCTTGTGGACTTCGCTGATGTACAGGCTACCATTATCAAAGATCGTGAATCTGCAAAGCGGATTTACCGTGAGGAAATACAATAATATAGAGAGAAGGCGGCGACGGCGGTGTTACCTAGTTTTGTCGAAATCGTTCAGCCGCAAGTTCTTTTCCCACTGGACCGTGGGCTTCGGGTCGCCCTCGACAACGCAATCAATCATCAAAGCGGACCCCTCGTGGGCCTCGGTCGGGTTTTTCGGGACTACAGTGAATTTTGGTGACACTGGGGAGGAAACAAATAATTGACAATGCACATGTCTTTCATCTTCGAGGAGAATTGTTGTTAGGTAACTTACCGACTACATCGATGTTGACGGTGACATTGATGACGCCTTGGCTATTGGTGGCCGTGCACATGTACTTCCCTTTATCTTCGGGAAGAACGCCGTTGAAGTGCAGAGTGCCGTTCACGTCTGTTATGTGTGTTGGGAGCGGCCCGCCGATTTTTTCCCAATGGACAATGGGAGGCGGCGTTCCTTGGGCCTTGCAGTGCAATTTCGCGACGCTGCTCAGCTCAAGCTTTTTGTTCACCGGCGGCGGCACAAACTTCAATTGCTCTTCAATTCACAAACAAACAAACGAACGAACAATAAGATATTAACTGCACCGGAAGAAAGAAAGGATGAGCAGATCGCTTACCGATGACGGAGATCGTTGCCGGCTTCGAGAGGACGGGCGCGAAACCTTTGGTCAGGATCTCGCACAGGTATTCTCCCCTATCAGATATCTTTGTCGATTGTAGGACAAGCGTGCCGTTCTGCTTGAATACCTTCAATCTCTGGTGGTTGGAAGTGTCGTCAGATTTGATCACTTTACCATCTTTTCGCCACCTCACGGTCGTAAATTCCGTCGCCGATTCACTAGTGAATCCGCATTTAAGAACCGAAGCTTCGTTCTCCTCTGCTGTGACGCTTTCTGGGTTTTCAGTTATTACTGGTTTTGCTGTAAAGAATAATAGATTTTTAGTTTTATATCTGATATTATTGATTTTCAATCATATGAAAAAAGTAATATTTTCAATGTTCCGGATTACATTTTATTGAATCTTAATTATAAAGATAGGTAAAGAACAACTTTTAAAAACAAAATCTAAGATTTATTAATTGAAAACATTTCAATAGTTCAATGTATTTGAGATATAGCATGTAACACGCTATTTTTATTTGACATTTATTCATAAATTGTTAGGATTTGATCAAATGTAACATTTGGTTTGTAACCTTATTATTAGTGCACATGATATTATTCTGATTTGTTCTCCCATGACGAGAGGAAACAGTGTAATTCTAAACGATCCAGATTTTGCTAAAGATTAAAATCAGATACACCAATAATAAACTGCATAATCCGTCAAATTTGCTTTTTTTATCTAAAGTTCTATTAATACTACAAATAAGTGGAGAATAACAAATTCATGAATAGAGACTAATTTGAACTTAGATCAGATTTATACGTAAAGTCCACTGATAGAGTGAATTATATTTCAGCAGTTGTAAATTAATTAATTAATAATAAAAAGTTACCTTTTACTATACCTACTACTTGTAATATTTTAATTAATTGACAAAGATGCATAATTTTGGACATAAAATACATAACAAATAGTTTCAAGAAATCATTATGATAGAAAACTAATGTAAAAAAAATCAATAAAGTAAAATAATTAAACAAATAGAAAAACAAGGCATGTTTTAGTATTTTATGCGAAACAATAATATTTAATTGAAATACTTTGACGAAGAAAAAAATGTTTTTAATAATAACATTTTTATATTTAAAAATGTTTAATATCTTAAATATTGTAATATGTATATTATTCCATATAAATTCTCTTAAATGACATTAGTGTTAAAGTAATATTCTCAGTTATATTTCATGTATAGACGATAAATTCCACCGTCAAATTGACCACAATCTTTCCGCCTATGCAATATAATCTATTTATTACATTGTAATATCTTAAAATTTACTTAAATCAATGTATTAATGGACTTTAACTGGTTTTTGGGTGGCGAGTCATCAATTTAAGTTAATGTTAAATATTTAGTGGTTTATCGCGTTCATCATGGAACCGGCGATTGCTGATTAATTGTGTGGGCTGTTCTATAAGTCATGTAGCACCTGTTAGGTCTAATGCCCGAGCCATGCAGTCATTAATTATAGCAAATCTTTGCACTAACAAGTCGATAAATTGGCTTGCAACTTGATATCCCACCTTGAATAGCATTTCACCTACATGCTTGTAATTTCAGTTCTCCAATCTGGTGTGACAGTATGCGGTAATCGAGCCGCAAGTATATGAATGTATACTGCCATGATTTACAGTTATAATTATAATTAAAAAGAAAAACATTTCGATACATCCTTCCGAAGTAGTTCTGACAAAGAAGCATATTTCATGATATATGTTGATATACAAAAATGTTAATATTCTGGTATAAAAAGTTACATATTTCTATTTTCTTTGATAGAAAGATAAACTTGGTTAAATTTAATTTTCAGTCACAATTTTAAAATGAATCTATTTGCATTGTTCAAAGTCATTTAATTTAAACTTTGGAATGTGGTTAATAAAATTAATCACATTAAAATTAATTTGTATGATTGTAGAAAATTATTACATTACAAAGTATTATCGACTGAAATATTAATATATATATTTCAAAATATTACTTTTATGTTCCAGTGATTTTATTGTATTTTGTAATTTCACCGTGGTATTAGTATGTTCTTTATGGTTTAGAATTATTACGACCGGTAAGTTCAGAAACTTATTACCTTTTCAGTCACAGTTTGACATTATTCTTCAATTTGTAATCAAAATTTATGATGATAATGTAACTAAATGTTCTTCTTCTGATAGATTCAAATGATTTGTTTGGTATGTTGGAAATGTAGGTGCGAAATGTTGAGTAAACTTTTAATTTTAATAAATGATTTTGTATGATTCGACGTATATCTGCGGATGTGGTCATTACATCACATATTTGTCTATTTATTTGATAAATTTAGCATGGCACAAATTATTTTTAAATACAAATTCTTAATAATATTTCTTGTAATGCGGACTGCTGAGCGTTTAAAAATATTTCAATTCGAAATGAAATTCGTCAATTCGTCATAAGAATTGATGATTTCATTAAAACAAATTCTTCTGATGGTACTGAAGATTCTAATTTCAAACTGCATATATTAAGTTCTATTTCGCGACCTACAACTTCAGAAACGCTGATTTATATTTATACACTTTCTTTTTACAAATGTTTCCAACATATAGAAACATATTTTTAATTAAATATTATTTTGAACCGAAAACGTGATTTATTGATCTCAAACATGAATTAATCGAAGTGTGTGCCTAAACTATTAATACAGTATTTCCATCTTAACGGTAGCTTGTTAAAATTGCGAAAAGGGGTTTTTTATAACTTGTCGGTAGTTAAATATTTTACTGAAATGTCTGAAAATAATGGTAGTCCTTGCACCAACTTCAAGGTCTGAGGAATACAAAGGGCGACAGAGAGTTTCCAAGTTGCCCTCTTACAGTTTGTGCAACGTTATTCGTGCGACATGTGATCGAGCATTCGATATTTTGATGTGTTGCATTGGTTTCACGATGGAAAACATAATCAAATATTACGCGATTTTTTGAGTTATCCAAGATTTACAAAATTTAATCTGCAAAGGGCAGTGTGTCTGAAATGCTTTACAATATAAAAAAACAAAGAATTGTTATTATTAATATAAAATTATATTATATAATGTTATTTACTTTAAATAAATAAAATTAGCAACATAACTAAGTAAATATTTTGTTTATGCTAAGTGTAACAGATGTATAAGAGTTTTCTGCCTTCCAGTGCATTGTCTAAAGGGAAACAAATGGAGATATTTAGCTGCAACAGGGTTAAAAGCTTCCTAACATCATTAATAATGCATCGTGTAGACAGCTCATGTACGCAAATATACATTGGTTTGCGGTTTTACCCTAGTACTTGCAATTACACAATACAATTGAGCAATTTTAAATAATTCAATAATTTAAAGGAATCGAAAGAACATATTTACTTGAATAAAATTTAAATTTCCAGTCATTAATGTTAATTTTTAATATATATATGTATTTTTAGAAAGTTTCTATCCTAATTGGAAAGTTAACCTAAAATTTGTATTTGAATTTATAAAGAGCATCACCTGATACACTAACCTTTAGCATTCGTTTATTAATCATTATAGACATGCAGATGTTACGTATTCAATGAATGTCATTTATTTTTATATAATCAATTTATTTCTATTATGTAATTTTCAAACATGGGTTATTTCGAGTAAATTTATTTCAAAATCACCAATTAATAAACGCTCAATAAGAAATGGTAATTCGATTCAAATTAATTAAAAGTACCTAGAACGAAATCCGTTAATATTTATGTAATTGAATAAGACATTAATTAATTGAGATGCTGCCATGTATGGTAACATCTGATTTATATCGATACATGTTACCTTAAAAAGAGTATTCTATATAAACATTGGAATTTCATTGGAAAGCAGAATAATTATATTTACAGACCAGCATTTACACATTAAATTAATTTGAAAATGCATATTAAATAAATATATTATCTGAAATAATTGCAAGTGACGGACGAAGACATTTTAAAAGTAAGAAGTATAAGTTGTTTGTCGCAACATCGATTATCTAATAATGCACCTGCACGATAAAATTATTCATTTTGAAGGAAGAATTTCGCTTCGGAGCACATGAATACTGAATATCAAATGTAAAATTGAGTACTGCGTTCGCTGACTGCTCTGGACATCGCCTTTGTAAAAGTTTTGCACTTTTCAAATATTGTAAGAATGTGCAATATTCACGCTCATGAATTGGGAAATATTGACGATTTTTTTGTATAATGCATAATACATATATAGTAAATGTTGAGTATAACATAGAAACAATTAAAATAAAATGACTATTCAAATGTATGCATATTGGCATATTGACAAAAGCGTATATATCATAGTAAAAGAAGTAAAATGTAATTTTATATATTTAATATAATATAATTTTATATAATCCAGTGAATTCTAAACTATTTGTTATAATTTTGTAACTTTTGTGGTTGTAATTCGCCCTCATATAAAATTAGCGAGTTGTGTGTCAAGTCGTTTTGCATTTCTTATGAGTATGTCGTTAACTGTCGAAGCGATTCTAACGGCAAAATGCTTCCCAGTTAAAATAATTAGTTTCTTAATTAATTAAAGGAGATTTAATGTTCATATTATTATGATGATATTTATGTTCTTTCATACAAATTAGGACACATTTACAAACAAAAAATATCGAGGAATTATATTAGGTTCCCACAATTAATAATATCTTGTATAATTTGCAATTTCCAAAACTGTACTTAATATAAAATACAACTTTACTTCATATAAATATATTGAAATAAATAATTTAAATGCCTTTTAAATTTTTCATTGTATCACTATTACACATTTCAATGAAATGTCATTTGATATATTATAAAGTTCAAAAGTTAAATGTAAAATGAGGAAATCTTACTTGTAACTACGAGTTGGAAAGACTTCTCGGTTTTCCCAGCGACGTTCTCGGCAACACATGTGTACGTCCCAGCATTGTCCCTCTTGACGCTATCAAGAATCAAACGTCCGTCATCGTCGACCTTAACGTCGCCCGAATCAGAGATCGTGTGGCCGTCAGGATTCATCCAAAACTTCTTCGCCGGCGGGACGCTTTTCGGTTCCAGACACGTCTGCTGGAAGAAGGAATCCTCGGCGATTACGTGCTTGGAGCCTTCTGGAAGCGGCGGCTCGAACAAGGCGTCGGTCAAATTGTGGATAACTGCAATCATTCACATACATTCGGTCACGTCACGTCCACTGGACATGGCTGCAAATTGAGTTTTAGCTTACATGCTACGTGCAGTTCGGCCGTGTAGCTCTGGGGAACCTCCTTGGATTCGCCCCGAATGCCCACGCAGTTGTACATGCCCTTGTCACTGTCGCGGACCTCGTTGATCTCCAGACTACCGTTCGGGTGCACTTTGATCCTGAAAATTCGCCTCCGTAAGTGGGTTTCCTCACTTATCACTCGTTCTCTCTTTTCTCTCACCTTTTGTCCGATTCCAGAGGGCCCACGTCTTTGAAGTACCACTCGGTGACGTCGGCGTGTTGGTAGGTGCAGTCGAAACGTGCTGCGGCACCCTTCTTAACCAATTGGTTTTTAGGAACGATTTGGATTAGGGCAGTATCATCTCCGGCAACGGCAAGAGCAAAGTTTTTGAAGCTGTGCTGGGATCCTGCTTCGTTCTGAGCCGTGCAGCGATATATACCATTGTCCGAAGGAGCCACTGATTTGATGTGCAACTTTTTCTTCTTGATATCCATCTTAGCCGTCTTTACCAATCTATCAGCATTTCTATAAAAACATAAAACATATTCATAAGCATTTAGTGAACATGTTCACAATTCAGTATCGTACATTAATATTGCATATGATTGAAATCATATATGGTAAAAACTAAAAAATATATAAATATTGAATAATAAAATGTAAAGCTATTTTTATAGAAACTAATAGAAACAGTACTGTTACTACTGTTCTTTTTATAATAATTTATTTACTTTTAATTATCGTACATAATTATCGAACGATATAGAAATTTGATAAAATAGAAGAAAAAAAATGATAGAAAACAGATATAAAAACGCATTTCCTTTTATCAAAAAAATGGGGAGATATATCGCTATATCAGAGATGAAAACTCTGCAAATCATAAAAGGAAATTGAGTGGGAACATTCATATTTTAAAAGGAAATTCAGGATTTTTTAAGAAAATAAATATTTTTTTAAATACATATTATCCGTTAAAGAAAAAATAATGTATGGAATAATAATAGCAGATTTTATTCTATAATTGAACAATTTGTATTGGCTTAAAGCCCTTATTATTTCTTTAACAAACATTTTTAGAATTTGAAATAAATGTTTATCATTAATTTATATAACAGTTTATTTAAAGATACATATGCCAGACTATATCGTATTTCTGGAGACAGATCGATTGAAACTGAGTCTAACAGAAGATGCTTTCAGAATACAAAGAAGAATATTTAAAAGAGACGAACACGAATGTTTGTGAGACGACTCCCCTTCTCAAAAAGAAGTGACAAATGGGGTAAAAACATTAGTAATATACTATACTGATAGATGATAATGTCTTTAAGGGTGTTGTAGGAAATAATGAATGAAAGCAAACATAACATCCAAGGAGACACATACTAATAGGAAAGGATAAATAAAAATAGAAATACTTGGAAGATTACCATTATAAGAGAATAAATTATGTAAGTGAGCAAATTATTGCACAATGGGCGCAAATGAACGAAAGGATGACAAATAGAAGCTTTTTTTAGTGAGTATGTGTATGATCACTATATAGTAAGTATAACGAAATGGTCAAGAGAGAAATAAGAAAAAGCACTTGAATCTTATGAAAATAAGTTTTATAAAAGTGGCATAATTCCATACAGCAGATATTTTTTTATTCTATTTGATTTTTATTAAATGACATTTGTATTCAATAACACTTAAAATTTTAAAGTATTATTGTAAAATTGATTAATTGATAAATTAACATCGACAAAAAAAGACATTATCGTACACTATGTTTGATATCAGACATATATGCAAACGTACACAATATATTGAAATAGAATAACAATATAAGTTGGTAATTGCAATAGCACGTAGTGTAGTTTCACTGTCCTTGGCAAAGTTATCTGTGCATATGCCTCCCTTAGTAAAGGGATAAGAATAAGGGTTTTTGTGAAGTTTTATAGAATATATACATACTTTCAAAATCTTTTAAACTTTTTATAATAGCTAGAAACGGTATAATATTGATTTCGTTTGTTGTAGGTACATACCTAAACCATTCATAGTGGACGTCTCCGGAGGCTTCCAGATGACATCGCAACACCACCTCGGTTCCCTTGGCGATGTAGGATGCAGATTCCGGAGATTGAAGCTGAACGGAGGCTTCTTCGATCCCTGCAAAAAAAAAAACAAAATAAAATTCTCACATTCATTGGAAAACGTACGTATCTATAAAATATGAATATGTGTTTACGCGTATGGACGGCAATAAAGGTAGTATAGAGATTCGTTGCCAAAACCGGTTTCCAGCGAAATTAATGCATGTGTATGAAGATGGATAGATATCCCTTTGATCTGCCAACTCGCATCGCCACCGGAATATACAGGTGTAGTATGCATTTCATCTAATCGTCTCCATCTAGTTTTATACTTTTCTCTCTCCTCTTTACAGCAATACTTCCTCCTGCGCCACTCGCGAAGCAATATTTTAATGCAGGCCCAACGCGCACACCCTTTCACTATAATTGAATAGGGGAGGGTGGAAAAGTCTTGAATTATGCGTTTATTATTATTATTTAGAGCAGAAGATTAGTCGGGAAAACTTTCTCCTGATTAGCATTTAAAGCCAAAAGGAATGCGAGGAGAGGAAAAAAAAGTGTAATCGAAATGTATCCAACGTGCCCAGCTTTGTGATGCAAAAAAAAGTAAGAGAAGAAGTTCGGAATTTACTCATTTTTCTTTTCGTTTTATTTTGGGGGCGATAGGAGCTGTGTATTGGGTACGTACGACGGGTAAGCTCTTATTATCCCGCCTGAACTTTGACCCGGGTTCCCTTTGCCTCGTTTTCCCATTTGGCGCTTTATCGTCGCCGTCCTTCCTTTCAATCATGCCAGTAGAAACTTATCTTCTTCTCCTGCTGTTGCTTTAAATTCAGTTCCCGTGCGCGCCGGATACGACTTGGGGGGATGTGGGTATAGAACGAGCGAGAAAGATGGTGCGCACGGTATCCCCTCGCGTATTCCTTCGGACGTCGAAGCAAAAATTACGGATGCCGTATTTAATGATATGTAAAATTATGAATTAGAAATAGAGAAAAAATCCCTCGTACATACCGTGATTATTCCCAAGATATAATCAACTCAAAAGCGGAAACATATATATTTCAGATGCTAATTATTTTGCTCGAAATATATTTTTTTAAATAATAAACCATTCAACCTGTCCATATCCAGTTATTATTTATATATAGTTATTCCAATTTTATTAATATTACCATAATAACAAATCTATTTGGTCATTATTATAAAAAATACAACAACTTTCAATTTACCATGATTTATAAATTGCGTAATTATATTTAATAGTTTTCTTTTATTTCTTTATGAAACTTTTCAATAAATTTATGTTAATATTATTTCATATTAATAAATATAAAAATAACATAAACATTAAATGTATACATTAATATGAAACATTAAACTAAACATAATTCACTAAAATTAAAGAATTATTGGACAACGGTAGTTTCTGCAGAAATGTTAAAGGTATTGCAGTAAATGTCATTAAAAACCAATTTGCAGTAAAAAGCAATTTATTTGCGATGAAAGTTCATAGCTTTGTGGCAAAAAATGATTGCATATTCACTGTAATTAAAACAACATAATTTACTTTCTTTATGGTACGTTTTTTACAATGTTGTTTTAAATTCATTTGTTTTTAATACACTGACTACAAAACTATTTATATGATTAATACGAACATCATACATCGCTTAATGACATAGAGACGTTCCGGAAAAGTTGGCCGTAATGCGAAAAGCCGTATAACGTATCAATGATATAAATATTTATTGAACTTATTTGTAGTAAAATACAAATTTGAATAAATTTAAAATCTGAATTGCAATTATTTAATAGCATTTTCAAATGAAATTATTCATATTATTTATTCATTATTTCAAAATTGAATAAACTAGTTTCAAATTAGAGACACTATAGACGATATTATCCCTCTAAAAAATGGCTGATTTAAGTATAGTAGGGATTAAAATTACTCAAAGCCTAATTAAATAGTTTTCAAGTTGAGATTATAGCTAAGCTTCTAGCGATGCAATTCGCAGAGTGGATTTAAGAGAGTTCCGTTCATGTTTTTTTTTATTCTCCTTCTGTCTAGAAAAGGAACTTTGATGTGGTGCGCAAAAACACATTATGTATATTGTCTTCCTGCTGCCATCTGGCTTCGCATCGAATTCTTCCTCAGGCTTATATACATACATATTTTTATATTTAATATTCAGAATCCGTGCCTTATCGGTATGCATTCGGGCCCAGTTTCGCCGTCTTCTACATCCTCGACATCCATCCATAAGTTATGTATTAAACTCGTAAATACGAATACAAACAGATACACACACACATACCAATATATTGAATCCAAGCCCTTTTCCTCATCATTCTCCACCTTCTCCTCATCGTGATCATCATCATCAACAACTCCGTTTTCCTCTCAGAGCATATTTGGTTTCAGCAAATGCAAACATGTAGTAATATCAATGTAATAGACTGGAGATGGAAGGAGCGGTAGGATGAGGATTATCGATTGGGAAGAGGGCAGACGATTTCATCGGTTTTCCTATAGCCTTCCCCCGTTCCAATTAGTTTAATGAACGCAACCTTTGTTTAAAAACAACACTAAACATATTCGTCGTCCGGAAAAGTACAAAAGAAATGAAACGAATCAAAATTCCTCTATGGACAGGCAACGAAACATGATTAATTCAGTGCTCATACGGTGAATCCATTGTCGTCTACGAAATGCCTTTGTGCCGTTGTCTCCGTTGTTACACTTCGGCTTTCCAATGTGGATGGAAGACACGAAGAGACGGCGAAGATGACGGAATATTTAATTAATTAAGCTGCAAATTGAGTCTTTGTGTTGATCGACGGGTCGTGATTTCAATCGGTGAATGTTATCGAGTTCTAAATCCATTTGTACGTGAATCAGGTACCACTCGAGATCGGGTCGAGCGAAACACATGTACTCTATCTATTACGATGCTCGGGCGTATTGATTATTTTTCTACCTCGTCCGAGGAATTTTGAAGCAGCTGCTGGAGGATGAGGAAACTGCTGTCAGGACAGAGTTCCGATATCTTGTCTGGGGTTACTGTATCCTCGTAACGACATAGCGTTTCCGTTTTCCAGCATAATTCCTCTATTTCTGCTGTTCTATTATTAATCTGAGGATTTTGCAACGAATACTGGAAGCGATTTTAAAGTTGCCACGAAGAAACGGGAAGAGAAAAATGATTCCTACCGAGATGAAATGCTTCGGAATTTGCAGGTAATTGGCATCGGGTCTCTTCCACTTACAATTCTTGCGCGTAATGCGTGTAAAGGCATTAACATTCTTCGGGGCTCCAAAGAGGCTATGCACGAGTCCGGATCATTGTTGGACGGATGAATGGATGGCTTTAAATCATAAATCGCGCGTCGGACATTCTTCTTCCGCGATTTCATTTGCATTTCTACCATCATTAATAAATGTAACTGTTTTATTGTTACTTTTTCTTCTATTCTCTCTATAATTGTTACTAGCGACATTATTATTCATTGTCCTTGCATAACAATTTCATTTTATTAATTGCATTTTTTACGATGTTTTCTCATAGCTTCAACTACTTCTTCTAATCCTGCACAATATGCAGGAAGATGAAATATATGGGTATTAACAATATTGGACTCAAAGTTGTAAAGTATCCTTTTTAATTATTGTTTTTTTCTTGACTGTTTGACTTATAGTTTCTAATTAGTGAAATATATAACTAATATTTCTTGAGAATCTAAGATATAATTAATGCATAAGAATATAGACCTCATTTAAAACTTCATTACATTAAATCATTCCAAGTTTTACACTAATAGTTATTTTAAATCAAACAAATTGGACAATAGTTCAATTCATATAATTCATATAAATTAATATTGTAACCACCTCTTTCCTAAGTACAGTATAACAAATATATATGTAGTACATATTACGTACGTATATATAATAAACTTAAAATTTCCATTCAGTTTTATAAATTTTCATTTAAATATAGTTTATATCTCCATAAAAAATCTGTCAGTAAACATTATTCAATTGGATAATTTATATGCGCATTTAATTCGTGTGCTGAGAGCCGAGCAAGTTTCCCTCGTTACCCCATCACTCGTCGATCAAGCTCTGACAACATGTTTGGGTCGTCACGCTTATGAACATTGTTTGTTTTCGTTATGGAATTCGGTGCTTAATTGTGCGGTCGTACCCTGATGGTATTCAAGTTCGACAGTCGTGTGTGGTGGTGCGTTGCCGAGCGATGCGTGAAGAAGTGTTTTCCATGCGAGAAAGGAAACACAAATAATTGTAAATATACGCGTTAAGCCCTTTTCATAGTCAAGGAGGGGGGTAAATGTAAATACACAATTCCACTCATTTTTTTTTTCAAACTTAGCTCAGCTTTACTCCGCCGTGGAAACAAAAGTCAATTGTGTTAGGTTTCGTCGAGATTAAAAGGCAGATTTAATTGAGCTATTTTGTTTTACTTGTTTCCCCTTTGTTGTTTTGTTTTTACAGATTTTTAATATTTACTACGAACATTGTGGGTCTTTATTGTCGGTCTATTGTTTCTTTAAATACGCATCGTTTATAAATATAATGCAATGTAGAAAATACGTTGTTGTGCATATTTTCAAAAGAAAAATATTTCATAAAACAATTAATTTTGATCAACAAATTATGTTTGTTCGAAATTTTACAGAAAATAAATTACATCAAATGTGTTACAAATTGTATTCAGTTAAAATAAAATAATTTGCTAGGACCTACAGCGAAATTCATATGTTCACAGAATCATCGGCAAATGTTTTTTTTTTCATTTTGTATTATTTTTCGATATTTTTTTTACATCAATAGTTATTTGTATATAAAGATCATAATTAAGTTATTGTCATTGATAAAATAGTACATCAATACCTCAGGTAATTAGTTCCGCCAATATCCCGTATTGTTTGAAATGGGATGCACAACAAAAAAAATAATTTTGTGTACAAAATCTTATTTGAAAATAAATTTCATACTTAAGTTATTTTAATTTGTAAAATAATAATGATTAGTTGTCCTAGAATTTAATT